GATATGTGCTGTTTTTACTAATGGATGTGCTAGATTGCATTCCCTGCAGGGAATGACAATCCAGCACATTGTCAGTGACAGGACACAGCTCTGCATTGTTTTCAGAGCTGTGTCCTGTCACTCTCCTTGATGATCCAGGGGTTTTGGTGCTCATCCATTGGCCGACAACTGTTGATCGGTTTCTGCTGTATCAAATCACAACAGAAGTGACAAGTCGGTGTTACGAGAACGCCCCCCTACAGCAGAAGTGCAAAATCATATATATATATATATATATATATATATATATATATATACAATTTTGCACAGAACATCTACCCTGTAGCAGTAAATCTGCTATAGGGCAGACATCAAGTACTAAAAATATAAACAAAAGGGCTGAGTATTCTGAAGAGCATGAACCGACAAATGTTTTCTACTAACAGAAGAGGAATCAGCGCAAGGCAGAGGCGTCCCTAGGGTAGGTGTCACCTGGTGCAGTAACACTTGGTGATACCCCCTCCGATGATCCCCGCAGAATGGATTGGATCTGCGGATTGAGAATAATGGTTCGGACTCCGATCCATTATGCTCAATCCGCAGATGCGATGCATCCTGCGGGGATCGTCGGCTTTCTTTACAACTTACCTTTCCTTGGAGCGGGTTCAGTGTCACCCCGTATAGGTTGCATGCAACCTATATGGGGTGACACCGGACCCGCTCCAAGAAAACTTAAGTTGCAAAGAAAGCCGACGATCCCCTGCAGGATGGATCGGATCCAACCTACGGGGATCGTCGGCTTGCTTTACAACTTACATTTTTGTGGAGCAGGTCCGGTGTCACCCCATGGTGTCGGTGTCACCTGGTGCGGACCGTACCCCCTGCACCTGCCTCAGGACGCCACTGGCACAAGGGACACATAATACTGACTGTAAGTTATGTCCCTTTTGTTGATTTTTCATTTTTAGCTACATTTAGACTTTAAACAAATATACAACAGCATTAAATAGTATTATTTTATATCTGCTTGGAGTTCAGCTTTAAATTGCCATTTGATTTTGCCATTTGGTATTAACTGTTGACTGAGCTGGAGGTTTGGATAGTTAGCTATATTAAGATACATATGTTTAAAATCTTTAGGATTTGTACTTTGCTCTATTTCCATTGCAAACAAATCTGCTTATTTAATTTAATAACCAACCGGCAATAACCAAATATTGCTTACTCATTGCTTTGTCTGCACTGAAAAGTTCATAGTCATCTCAGCAGATGATTTTAGTTTGTATTTCTGCACACTAAGAAGGATGTGGGAGAGATTTTGTGAACCCAGGCCATCCCTGCTGATTTTATCTCGCAGTTCACGGTTACTAGGGGACATTATGACGCATGGGATTGGAGTCTTAGTGTTTCAGTTGGTTGAACAGAAAGTGAATTACAATACTAGAGTTTTATTTATCATTAAATAAAGGAGTTTCTCCTCATTGTCATTTATTGCTGATTATCTAAATCTGTTTGAACCTTAAAAAAAAACTTTTCTACGCACTCTATACAGGGAGTTTGAAATGTACCCTTTATAGGCTAACTTAAGTTTTTAAAGATGCAAGCTTCAGGACTCAATTGTATAATTCCAGAGGAAGGAACCGAAGTCTTCAAAGCTTACAAATTGTAATAACTTACATTGACCAATAATTGATAGCACTTTATAGCAGCCTTTTTCAACCTTTTTTCCCTGGAGGAACCCTTGAAAATATTTTTTAGATTTTCGGAACCTCTGCTGAAAATGATTATATCTACAGCCCATGGCTTGTGGTACATTAGTATGACCAGTAAGTTGTAGAAAGTGACGGAAGAATGTGATGGTATCTGTGGGTTAGAATATTTTAAACCCAGAAGGAATCACTTTACAATATACCCCTGCTACAGTATATAGTACAATAATAATCTTAATATAAAATGAATACTAATGGCCATATACAGTGAAGGAAATAAGTATTTGATCCCCTGCTGATTTTGAATGTTTGCCCACTCACATAGAAATTATCAGTCTAAAAATTGAATGGTAGGTGTATTGTAACACCGAGAGACAGAATAGCAACAAAAATTTCAAAAGAAATGCAGGTCTAACAAATGATGCACTGATTTGCATGTTCATGAAGGAAATAAGTATTTGATCCCCTTTCATTCAGCAGGATTTCTGGCTACCAGGTGTCTTTGATACAGGTAACAAACTGAGATTAGAAGCAGTCTCTGAAAGGGAGTGCTGCTAATCTCATTTTGTTACCTGCATAAAAGACACCTGTCCACAGGAGCAATCAAACAATCAGATTCCAAACTCTCCACCATGGCAAAGACCAAAGAGCTGTCCAAGGATGTCAGGGACAAGATTGTAGACCTACACAAGGCTGGACTGGGCTACCAAACTATTGCCAAGCAGCTTGGTGAGAAGGTGACAACAGTTGGTGCAATCATTTGCAAATGGAAGAAACACAAAACAACTGTCAGTCTCCCTAGGCCTGGTGCACCATGCAAGATCTCACCTCAGTGAATTGTGTATCAGTGGAAAAACTATTGCTCATTATAGGTGAGAGACAAATCTGACATTGCTCAAGAAACCCTTAGCAACCTCTGAAGGAGCCCAAGGGTTCCATGTAATCATGGATGAGAATGCCTTGCTTACAGAGAATCTAAACCCCAAAAATGAAAATGTAATATATTGCAGTTTACCAGTCCTATCAAGTGAATGGGCTGCCATATGCATGACCGGTGGACACATATGTAAATCGCTAAAAAAAAAAAAAAAAATCGTGAGCAGGAACACGTGTTCCTGCTACACAAGATTTGAACAGAACCTAATAGCTGCTGTTGTCAAAAAGCAGAATGTCTGCAACAATGTTTATATATACTACTTGAAAGTGAAATAGATACAAAGTAACATTGTTACTTTTATATCTACTGTTTCATTAATTTGCAGATCAAAAGGCTGAGCTCCAATCTGCACATGATATCAGCTAAAGCAATTTAAAGCAAAGCTCCACCCAAAAGGGGAAGTTCCACTGAAAGGCCTTGCCCCCTGCTCCATGTTAAGGATTGGAACCTTTGGGGAGTGGGGTGGGGGACAGGTACCCGAGTTTGATTACCAAATACCATTTCCGCAGCTAGGTGATCAATAGTTGTCCTCTCTCCCTCCCCGTAGACTTTTTGGACACATGACAGGTTCCAGAGGACTATGGGATCAGTCACAAGGTGCAGCACTACTCGCGCAAGCAAAGTGGGCACCAAACTGTGAAGCCGCAAGCTATCACACTTAAGATGCCTGCGCTGGGGAAAGAGGACGGATGGTGAAATCGGCTGCGGTGAGGACACCATTGGACGGAGTTACAGGTGAGTGGCTGTTTTTTAAAAGTCAGCAGCTACAGTTTTTGTAGCTGCTGCCTTTTATTTTTTTTTTAGATTTTGACTGGACCTCCACGTTAACAAGTAAAAAAAAAATGTTTTTTTTTTTTTAAATAAAATTTGTTTCTAACGATTAACTTATCAATAATAATCATAATAATAATAAAAAATGTATTTATTTTATCTCTTATTAACTTATTTTATCCTAATTATTATAATATTTATTATTATTAACTTATTAACACTTATTTTATCCTAATTAGCCATAATCAGCTCCTTCCCCTTCTCTCTAATATCTCTAAATATTATTTTCTGTTGTTTTTTAATTCATATTTTTCTAATAAATAATACTTAATTTTTTTCATTTGCATTCCTTTTGTTCATTAATTTTTTTAACATCGCATTAAAAAAAAAGGGTTTTGCAATGCTCTGTGCCATAATCATTAATTTTAGTGTCATTTTAAATGGGACAAATAGAATAAATTGTACAAGGGGCATTCAAGTCAGACCAGGGCTTTTCATTTTACAGGTATAAAAAGAGATGCTAGTGTGGCGGTACTACATGCAGTGGTAAGTGTGTCCTATTACTCTCCAGAGATCGTTAATCAAGATGGCAGACAACAGCGTTCTTTTGTGTATTGAACAGTGTGTGGTTATGAAGTTTCTTGTGAACGAAGGCATAAAACCCGCCGATATCTACAGTAGACTTCAAAAACAGTACAGTGATGAGACATTCAGCCGCAGTAAGACATTTGAATGGTGTAAACATTTCAAAGATGGCTGTACGTCTGTCAGTGATGATCCCGGCCATGGTGGTTCCCAGCCCACAGCAGTCATTCCTGTGAACATTCAGCATGTGGAATGCCTGATCCTGGATAATCAACGCATAACCTGTCGTGAAATTACATAAGAGACAAATCTTTCTGTGGGAATGGTGAACACAATGATGACGAAGTGAAGCAGACTGTCCTGGGAGTCTTTCTATGCCGAAGCTTTCCAGGCATTAGTTAAATGCTGGGATAAATGTAGCAGGGGAGTATATAAAAAAAATAAATGCAGTTTCCACTCCTTGAAAATTGTTCTTTTATTATATAAACACAAAAGTCCCAGTTTCACTTGAACGCCCCTCGTATAATTTTATCTTCACTAACACAATTTATATTTTACCTAACACTGATCAAGTAAAAAAATGTAGGGTTTTTTTTGGTTTTGGTACATTTTTTTTTTCTGTAAGAATTTCATAGAATATAAAATCATTTCGGCAAGACAATATTACCACAATAAAGCCTTGTTTGTCCTAAAAATTATACACATATCACATTGATATCTTAAAGCGGAACTTCACTCTAACGGGGAAGTTCCGATTTATGTTCTCCCCCCTCCTCTACCACATTTGACACGTTATAATTTTTTGAGGGGAGTGAGTACTTAGGTTTGAGAGACACTCACTCCCACTTCTGTTTCCATCCCCTAGGCCAGGGGTGTCAAACTGGTGGCCCTCCAGCTGTTGTGAAACAACAAGTCGCATCATGCCTCTGCCTTTGGGAGTCACGCTTGTAACTGTCAATCTTGCAATGCCTCATGGGACTTGTAGTTTGGCAACAGCTGGAGGGCTGCCAGTTTGACACCTGTGCCCTAGGACATCTAGGAGAAATTTCCCCCCCCCCCCCTTTGCCCACAGCCTTCTGGGACACATCACAGGTCACAGAAGGCTGTGGGACCAGGGGCGGACTGATAACTCATGGGGCCCCCGGGCAATAGGGGATCCATGGGGCCCCTCTGTCCTACCCAAACTCAAAAAAAGCCTATGAAAAAGGTACCAGGGGCATCTCATGGGGCCCCCTACTGACCCCGGGCCCTCGGGCAGTGTCCGAGTTTCCAAATGGTCAGTCAGCCCCTGCTTGTACCCCATTTGACATTCTGGATCATCCATAAGCATGTATGGGGACCATGGTGAGTATGAGCAGCAGGTGCATTTCCAAATGGTCAGTCCGCCCCTGTGTGGGACCATTCACAAAGTGCAGCACGGCTCGCGCATGCGCAATAGAACACTACCTATGAAGCCACAAGTAGTCACAGCTGGCTTCCCTTAGTAAATATGTCAGAACCAAAAGAGCAGCAAAGAACTGGTCTGGGTGAGGACAGTGCTGGATCCTGGGATAGGTAAGTGTCCTTTCATTAACAGTCAGACAGTCAGCAACTACAGTATTTACAGCTGCTGAATTTTTTGCTTTCTAGGATGAAGATCCTCTTTATGTAATGACTAAGTTATTGCCAAATTAATAGGCCCCTAGAAGAAATGTAATTATTATACAGGATTTATATAGCGCCAACAGTTTGCTCAGCGCTTTACAATATAACGGGAGACAATACAGCAACAATACAGTTCAATACAAGAGGGATAGGAGGGCCTGCTCTTTGAAGCTTACAATCTAGGAGTAATTGCTCTGGTCCATACAGAGGGTGGACAGGTATGAGAGATGAAGTGGTTAAGGACGCTACAGCTCCCCTTCAAGGGTTGTTCATATCAAAGAAGATAAAGATTGATCACCTGCCATATTTTATGGCAAACACACAAATACTTAAACAGCACCAGTTAAAATGTGTGCGATTCAACTGGGAAGGTCAGGGCTTCCTGTAACTTGTCTATTACTCGGCTTCTCAAAAATTGCTTACAGATGGAGAGAAACCTTTAAACATATGACAATGATAACTGTACTTGACAGTCCCAGACACTTATTTCTTTTTGTTATTTAGTGTTAGATAGAATAAGACACGATCTGCTTTCTAGAGTTCTGACATTACCCTAGTTAGGCAGGCACTTGAGATGACGAGTGAACAAGGAATCATAGGTCAAAAACATTTTTTTTTAAATACTTGTATTAACAGAACACCCCTATTTCCTGAATATCAGACCTTAAAGTACCCATAGAAATGGCAGCTGCCCTACTGCCTAGAAGGTTACCACCACCACCAGCTAGCTAAAGCCTCAGTTGACTACTATGCCTTTTGGCTGGTCAGGTGACTCATTGGGGTTGATTTACTAAAACTGAAGAGTGTAAAAATCCGGTGCAACTCTTCATGGTAGCCAATCAGCTTCTTTTTTTTTTTTTTAATAAATATTTATTAATTTTCAACCAAATACAAATCGCAATCATTTTCTTTTTTAAAAAAGACATCAAATCAATATCTTCCTATTAACATAATTTATCTATATCCCACATCTCCTTCCGCCCCTTTCCCCTTCCCTCCCCAACTCCTACAACCACGTCCCCCCATCCCCTGTCCCACTCTGCATTTCTCTTCTAACCCAAAAACTTTTCTTTACTTTCTAAAAAACCATTTTCTAAAATCCGTATTTATTTCAAGGGGTGTAAATCATCATCATATATTTCTCTTTTTCTCTATACTCTTCCCATTTTTTCCACTTTTATATAATACTTCTCCATCTTATCTATATGCATATAATACAATCTTTCCATCCCACAAATCTGATTCATTCTAACCATCCAATCTTCCTCTGTCGGCACCTCCCTTTTTTTCCAGAACCTAGGCATCAGACTCTTAGCTGCGCTCAAGAAATGCCAAATCCCTGATTCCTTGTATAATCTCACTGGAAGCTCAGTAATATGGAGAAGACATAACTCTGGATCCAATCTAACATCGATCTCAGTAATTTTCCTTACTAAGTAAACAATTTTCTTCCAAAACACCTGTATCTTTAAACACTCCCACCATATGTGATATGACGTACCCGCTTCTCCACACCCTCTCCAACACAATGGTGAAATCTCCCCATTCATTTTGTGCTCCACATTCGGTGTGATGTGCCATCTTACTAAACACTTATAGTTCAACTCCACTTCCTGCATGCTAATATTTTCGTAGATTAATCGATCAGCTTCTAACTTCATTTAAGCTTTGACAATAAAACCTGGAAGCTGATTGGTTTCTCTGCAGAGCTGCACCAGATTTTGCACTCTCCAGTTTTAGTAAATTTACCCCACTGTGTCCCCCTGTCTGTGTCCTTTCCCAGCATTGGGTGCCAGGAAAAGACTGCGACAGAACAGAAAGCTGCGGGGATGATGTGATTATGCCACCACTGCTCTCTTCTACAATGAATGCAGGTTGTCCTGTTTGGGGGGGTGAATAATGATACCTTGCACTTCACTCTGACTTTCTGGGCATCATTCAACCCAAAAGTCTGAGGAAAGTTTATTTTAAAGAAGAAGTTTTGTTGGCTGGACCATGCCATTCATGAGGTCAATTGAGGTGGGGGGCACTCATAGAGGCATGGTGGAGGTAGCACTGAGGCCAGAGAATTTAAACTGGAGACTCTGTCTTCAGTGCATCTTCAGCCTTGTGTATGTTCAGCAACTTGCCCACACAGCATCATTGGTTGTTACCAATGATGCTACATAAGCGGCCTGTGTCTTAATAACCAATGATGCTGTGAAGCCAGGCTACCTGAATTCTAGCAATTAAAGTGGTTCTAAAGGCTGAAGGTTTTTTTTTTTACCTTCATGCTTTCTGTGCAGCTCCTTCCCCAGCCCCCCCCCCCCCCCTTCATTCCAATAATCACCTGAGCCCAGCAACGTGCATAAGATTAGCTGCACACCCTCCTCACTGTCACAGAAACAGGAATCCATTGGCTCCCGCTGCTGCCAGTCACAGCCAGTGAGGAGGGAGTGGGGGATGAGGCTGAGCCATGCTCCGTGTGTCTATGGACGCACAGAGCCCAGCTCAGGATCAAGCCTACACGAGTGCCCCCATAGCAATCGGCTTACTTTGGGGGCACTCAGAAGGGGGGAGGAGCCAGGTGTACCATCAGGGGGCCCAAAAAGAGGAAGATTGGGGCTGCTCTGTACAAAACTGCTGCACAGAGCAGGTAATTAATGTTTATTTATCTATTTTGTATTTACATTTAGTATCACTTATAGATGGATGTGGAAGGATAGCAAAAATGACCAACGTATGACCGTAAATTTACTTTGGCTGCATTTGACAGCCATTTTAGGTGTGGTCTAGTAAACAAGCAACAGCACCATCTTTTTCTAGTAATATCATAGAGTATCTTGGAGGACAAAACTTCAGCATAACTTCAATTTCTGAGCTGAGACGCTAACTAGTGCTGGCCACCTTCTAGGCCAAGACTAGTGGGGCCAAGCTTACATGCAGCACCCAGGGGCTTTTTGAGTGGGGACACCCAATTGTAGCACAGGATTTCTTTTTTTTATTTTGCATTTGTTCCTGGTGTTGAAAGATTAGCGATGGTAATATCCAGCAATAGGAAACACACACAGATTCATAGATCCGCTCAAGACTGGCCTCTCCTGCACCTGGACAACCTGGAAGCCGGCCATCACAGTCCGTCTCCACTCTTCATTTAAAATAGGAAAAAATATCAGCCGCACTCTAATTACCTTTTCTTGCAATATTATTAATAAACAATTAATTGACTGCAAACAACAATGTCTCTAACCCAAAACTAAGCTTTCTTGACGCGTTTCACTACTCGTGGCTTGCTCACAAGGATCACAAATCCTCCTTCCCCTATCCTTGTGAGCAAACCATAAGTGCTGAAGGAAGCTTGGTTTTGGGTTGGAGACATCTCTGTATGCAGTTAATTCATTGGTTATTTAAAATATAGCTCACTGGAGTGCATCTAGAAATGGGCTGTCACATACGTTACACAAAAACAGTATGAAACCTACAGACTCTTAATTGTTATTAAAATAAATAGATTGTAAGCTCCAAGGAGCTCCTTAGGACCCTCCTAACCCTCTTGTATTGAACTGTATTGTTGCTGTATTGTCTCCCGTTATATTGTAAAGTGCTGAGCAAACTGTTGGCGCTATATAAATCCTGTATAATAATAATAATAATTGATAAATAAATAAACTGCTTTAAAGGTTTTTACATTTGTGCTTATCTATGATAGTCATGTGTGCCTTCTGTCATTGTTTTTGTAACTCTTCTCTCGTTACACTGGATCTGCTGCTTATTTCAAAACAGTGGACTTGAGTGAAAATCCAGGTCGCAGCATATTTCAGGAGTCACCCAATTACTTCTTGTTATGTTTAGTTTCGCTCTATCTGTTTTTCCAAGGCCGTTTCCCAGAAGGGTGTGTTAGCACCTGGGCGGTCAGAAGGGAAAGCTCTCAGGGGGCAGTTAGGGGGACTCTCTGATCTCAGTATCAGTTGCAATTAATTAGGTGCCTTAACTGAATACACATAGTCAATGTTGTAAAATGTAGACAGTGCATTCAGCCTTGTACAGCCATCCAGTACCTCCCAAGGGTCCTTCTATAAGCTGCACAGGGTATAGTTACAGGCTTCTTGAAGGTCGCTTCTGATGCATGGCAGCACTTGCTGCCCCTCCCAAAAGCAATTCACAGTGGATCGCTTTTCAGAGGGTGCTTTACAGGCAGCTGGAAGGTGATATTTCACATGCCTGCTTTATTATTTATTTATTTATTTCACTGTGTCTGCGTGGGTTTCCTCCGGGTACTCCGGTTTCTTCCCACACTCCAAAGACATGCTGGTAGGTGAATTGGTTCCTGTCCAAATTGGCCCTAGTATGTGTACGTATATGAATGTAAGTTAGGGACCTTAGATTGTACACACCTTGAGGGTTAGGGACTGACGTGAATGTACAATATATATGTAAAGCGCTGCGTAAATTGACGGCGCTATATAAGTACCTGAAGTAAATAAATAATAAACCCTGACAATGCCTGCCCACCATGCTGCAACTGCATGTGGTTGCAGGGTAGTTGCAGTAAGGCCTCCTTCATTTGAATGGGTGGCAGTCAGTGATGGTACTGCCTGTTATTTATTTATTTTATTTTATTTCAGGTACTTATATAGTGCTGTCAGTTTACGCAGCGCTTTACATATATATTGTACATTCACATCAGTCCCTAACCCTCAAAGGGTGTACAATCTAAGGTCCCTAACTCACATTCATACATACACATACTAGGGCCAATGTAGACAGGAGCCAATTAACCTACCAGCATGTCTTTGGAGTGTGGGAGGAAACTGGAGTACCCGGAGGAAACCCACGCAGGCACAGGGAGAACATGCAACGCAACAGGGGCTTTAATTTATATTGTAAAGCACCTGTAACTTATATTGTAAAGCACTGAGCAAACTGGTGGTGCTAAATAAATCCTGAACGCAACAGGGGCTTTAATTTATATTGTAAAGCGCCTGTAACTTATATTGTAAAGTGCTGAGCAAACTGGTGGTGCTATATAAACTCTGAATAATAATAATAATAATTTTTGCCCCAGCAGCAGCATGTGGCAGCACAGTGGCTAAATGGTTTGCACTTCCACCTGGTAATACTAGGGTCGTTTTTTCGAATCCCAGTCACAGCACCACCTGCCTGGAGTTTGCATGTTCTCCCTGTGCCTGCATGGGTTTCCTCCAGGTACTCCGGTTTCCTCCCACACTCCAAAAACATGCTGGTAGGTGAATTGGATCCTGTCTAAAATGGCCCTAGTATGTGTATGTATGAATATAAGTTAGAGACCTTAGATTGTAAGCCCCTTGAGGGTTGGGACTGATGTGAATGTACAACATTTATGTGTAAAAGCGCTGCGTAAATTGACGGCGCTATATAAGTACCTGAAATAAATAAATGTGTACAGTCCTAGGCAGCTGAATGTCTTTGTTTAGTAGCTCAACCTGCTTTTAGTGCCCCCTGGCTGCACATCTGAACAAGCCCTTATAGCCTTCAGTCTGCTGTTGGAGAAAAGGACCAATGACATATCTGGGCAGATAGGAGGAAGGCAGAGATCCTAATGGTTTTAATTTACAAATCCAAAAAAGAATAAAGTATTTCAAGATTCGGTAAAACTGACCTTAGAAGTAAGCCATGTTATATATTTCTAAGCAATAAATGGCTTACTTACTAGAAGGGGTGCAATTACACAGTGGTGGCAAAGCTACAGGGGCTATATAAGCCCCCAAGTCATTGTTAATGAGAAGAAGGTGGATCAAATGACTGGTAGGATCAACAGATACATTTTACAAGAGTAAAGCTTAAATAAAAAACAAAGGGCACAGGGAGATCATAAATGTTATTAGAAAGGTTTAGACCTCTTTCACACAGGTGGTCAGGGGGACGGTAAAAACAGGTGATTCAACCATTTTACTGTTCCCTGTCTGCCCACCTAAAATATAACATGCATTCAGAGGTGTGCACATGAGGCAACTGCAATGATTTGGTTTGTCGCTGTGGCAAATGAAACTTGGCAGACCAAGTATGACAGGTAGCAACACTTGTCAAGTTCACCCATTGAAGTCACTAGATCTTCAATGCAACCATGAGCTAAATATTTGGCTCGCGGTTCCAGCACAATGTTTTTTTATACAAAATCTCTGTTTGGCTAGAAAAAAAAATAAAAACAGCCATACAGGAGGAGGCAGTATCACCTCTTGAATGCCTAGAAGCTGCTATTGTGCCACCCTATAAAAACTGATCCGACATGGGTCCTTTTTCAAATGGAGATAGAAATTGCTGTCCTTGTGAAAAAGGCTTTCATTTAATAACATGTTAGCATGGATTCCGGCCCTAAAGCTTTGGGTGATTTGTTTTTTACTTTTACTTCCTGAAATGGATTTTTATGGTAAAGTAGTGTTTTCGCTCAGAACCGACCCTGGGAGGCCCAGAGGCGACTCTGTGACCAAGCCCTGGGTGGGGCGAAACGCATCGGAGGGCATGGCTAGAGCAGTGGCTGAGTCCAACCCATATATCTCACATGTCTGACTCCCAGGGTCAGTTCTGAGTGACATCCAATTCTCCTATCCCATTCAAGTTACTGAAACGAGTTTGGGAAGCTGCTCCCTTTTCCCCTGCCGGCGGAGTGACTGTTCCTCATATATCCAGGATCAAAGTCACACCACCAAGTTTTTTTTTTTGTTTTGTTTTGTTTTTTTAATTTAAATATTTATTAATTTTTCACAGTAATAACAAAAACACTTTCAAGTTATTCATAATAAATATACAATTTTTCTTATTACTTTATTTTTTCCCTTCTAAAAACCTTACCCCCCTTCCCACCCCTCCAGAACCCTCCCCACTCTGCATTTTTCACTACCTTTTTTTCCAAAGCAAGCATATCCTACCCATCTATCAATTCTATGTCGTTCTACATTTCACTTCTTCTCATTCTCACATTTGCTGCAAACTTTTCCCATTTTTCCCATTTCGCGGGAAATACCTCCAACTTGTCTTCCTGCATATAATATAGCTTCTCCATCTTACTGATCCAATTTACTCTTTCTATCCAATCCTCCTCCTTCGGTACTTCTATTTTCTTCCAATACTTGGGGATCAGACTCTTTGCAGCGTTCATATAATACCCTAGACCTAATTTCTTATATTTGCTAACTGATAGCTCTGTACTATGCAACAAACACATCCCTGGATCTAACCCGATGTTCATTTCAGTAATGGTCTCTATTAAGTGTACTATTGTTTTCCAGAATATTTGAATTTTTGGGCATTCCCACCATATATGATACACTGTCCCCACTTCCCCACACTCTCGCCAACACCATTGTGATTTTTCCCCACTTATCTTACATTCTACACTCAGTGTAATGTGCCATCTTGTCAAACATTTATAATTTATTTCTACTTCCCTCAAACTTACACTTTCGTGCACTAATCTATTTTTTTTTTTTGTTTTTCTTCGTCTAATACCACCCCCAATCTCTTTCCCATTTTACTATGTGCATTACACCACCAAGTTTTCACCAAGTTTTTCAAACACCCTTTGACACATACGTATAACTGGCTTTAGCATTGACTTTTTATATTTCCCGGAGTTTAGTTTGAAATACCATTCCTAGAACCAAACTTCTCACCTCTTTCTTGGAAGAAACCATATTTTTCATGTAGTGAGTATATTTTTGATGGATTTCATCCAACTGATCTTCAAGATAAACCTTATGTTACATTCTTGCTCTACAATTACAGTTGGGTGGGCTTCTTTTTTTTGATGTTTTGTTATGATCTATAAAGATCTATGTATAAAATCTTTAATCATGGTGGCAGCAGCTAATCAGAAATGCAATCTTCTCTGTCAGTCCGCTAATAGAAATATTCTAATCAACTGCACCACAGAGTCTTGGCTTAATTGTTCCCAATGAGCAATCCAAGATTTCAGAGACAGATATCACAGTAGACATCAGCAAAGTTTGGGCATATTCCTGGACTCCCTCAGAGGCTTAGACCAGTTCTCCAGAGGATGGGGACTTGCTGAGGACGAGGATTTTCGCTGTCATGTTTCTGCTGCACAGTTCCATCTGAAAACTTTTAGCAGACAAGAAAACAGTCTTGGCTTTGCTTAACAGTACGAGCAAACACGTCCTTTTGACATCTTCATTATTATTTCTCCATGCAGTCGTCAGATCAGGAATAATTTGATATGGGCGGTAATGCTGCTTTCTATTGAGCAATCACGTAATATGAATTAAATATTCTCGTAACGTAAAACAAATGTGACCCAACTGAAAAGCTCTCCGTCTTTAGATAGTAGTGGTCCCCACCAATCCACAATAAAGAGCAGTCCTTGTATACACTGTACTGTTGGCTTTAGGAATGACAGAGCTGGCGGCTGTCAGTTGAACTGCGTTTCAAGTATGCTGATAAATATACTGTGAGACCATCTGGCAATAGTAAATGCTGTAGTCTTAGTACAAGTCTGTCTGTTCTCTTGGTTCTTAAAGTGGAGCTCCAGGACTTCATTTAAAAAAAAATGCTTCCTCTTGAATCTGTAAAGTGTACAAAAAAGCAGTATATCAAAAAAACCTCCCTTTTCAAATGCCAGACGAGGCAGGGACTTTGTATGTGCCACGGAGAACTTACACTAACAGGATAAAATAATACAATTTTATTCCATAAAGAAAAAAACCAGCAAAGTACAAAACACTATTTAATCACTTGCCCTCCTGAGGATTTACCCCCCTTCATGACCAGGCCATTTTTTTGTGTTACGGAGCTGCGTTACTTTAACTGACGCTTGCGCGGTCATGCAACGCTGCACCTTTTTGCCACGAATTGAGCTTTCTTTTTGTGCTATTTCATCGCCTGTGTTTTTTTTTTTTTTGCACTATAACAGGGGCAGGCTGACAACTCATGGGGCCCCCGGGCAATTGGGGATCATGGGGCCCCTGTGTCCTTGCCCACACTCAAATCACACCCAAAAAAGCCTATAAAAGGTACCAGGGGCATTTTATGGGGCCCCCTACTGACCCAGGGCCCTCGGGCGGCACCCGAGTGCTCGAATGGTCAGTCCACCCCTGCACTATAAGCAAAAACAGACTGACAATTTTGAGAAAAAAAACTATATTTTGGACTTTTTGCCATTAAACATGTCCAGTAAAAAAAATAAATGGGGTGCACTCGGCAGGGGGAAGGAAAAGGAGCGTGGGTGGGTGACCCGAGAAGAGGAGGATCAGGGCTATTCTGTGCAAAACCATTGCACAGAATAGGTAATGCTACTTTCACACTGATCCATGGTGCATTTTTTTTATTACAGGATATGTAACTTGAAAAAAACACACCAAAACCGCAACGTGTGTGTTTTTTCTGAGTTTTTGCTGCAGTTTCCATTGATTTCAATGGGGAGGTGCTTTTTTTACCATATCAAACCTGCACAAAAAATGCAGAAAGCAGGATTTAAAAAAATGCAGTGGACCCACAATAGATCAGTGTGAAGAGTTCCATAGGATTACATTGTCACACGTTTTTATTCCACTTTTTTTTTACCACAAAAGAGCTATAAAAACAAATCAGTGTGAAAGCAGCTAAAGTATGTTTGTTGTTTTTAAAAAATAGGATTTACCATTACTTTAAGGACTGGCAGATTGCAATATATAAAATATCTGCTTTTGGATTTAGATGCTGTTTAAATGTGGTTACTGCATTAACTTCCTTTTTCAGGCTCTGCACCCTCCATGTCATGGAGATGAACAAAGGCAGACATGAATAAAGTCCATCCTGGGTAACAACCATGGCCCCTCCATAAATACAGTGGAGGAGTGATTGCAGCTACCCAGAGACAGAAAGAATGTTATTTGCAGGATTGTCAATATTGAAAATATAGAGAAAAAGGTCTGAAACAAGAAATGTGTGAATTACATGCAAATGTCTGTGCAGTGTGATATGAGCCATACATTTTACATAGCCCAAACTGCATCGCATCCACACCAAGGCGCAGGACCCTTTTTTAAATCTTCACCTGAATCACATGGCATAGGTGTACTCAGCTATGCAATGCAATTTCTGGCAATCACATTGCGTTTTGGGGTGTCATTAATTTATCATTGACACCCGCACCAGATCGCATGAACACGATGCAATGGGGTGTGGGGAAACTCACAGGATTTGCAGTGTTTCCAGCACTGCATTGGTGTGAACCCAGGCTGAATCAGTATTTCTGAACAATACTGCTCCAAACTGCTTATATAAAGATACACAGTAACATATTGTTACTTTTTTATCTTTCTGTTCATTCATCTTTGATCTGCAGATGATGTCAGTTAAAGCAACGTAACAAGTAATAAAAAATTTCCTCTGTTTAACCTCTTATTAACCCTTAGTTTACTCTAATCTGCCCTAATTAACTCCTTAGTCTCCTGTTTGTTAATATTTTTACACATTTAACATGTATTTAAAGTGGTTGTAAAGGCTCAGGATTTTTTACCTTCATGCATTCTATGCATGAAGGTAAACAAATCTGTGCGCAGCGGTGCCCCCAGCCCCCTTACTTACCAGAGCCCCATCAAGATCCAACGACGTGCATGACAGCCTTGGTTGTCCCAGGTCTCTGCCACCTCATTGGCTGAGACAACAAACGGGAGTCATTCACAGCCAGCTGTCAGCCATGAGAAGAGAGAGGGGGCAGGGGGCCAAGCCGCTGCTCCATATGTGAATGGACACACAGAGCAGTGGGTGCCCTCATAGCATGCTGCTTGCTGCGGGGGCACCCAACAGAAATGAGGAGCCAGGAGAACCTACGGGGAAACCGAGAACCTGGCTGCTCTGTGCAAAACCACTGCACACAGCAGGTAAGTATAGACATGTTATTTTACAAAAACAAAATAAAAACCTTTAGTGTTGCATTGCAACATTTCCCATTGAAAAAAAGTGCAAAGTTGAAAGAAAACCACATCTTATTTAATTTGTTGTAATTAATTTTGCAATGCTTTTGTACCAGAATCATAATTTTTGTGTCATTTTAAACAGGACAAATTACAGAATGGAATGTGCACTTTTCATGTGCAGTAACACTATTTATTTTTAAATTACCACTGCTCAAATAAAAAAAAAGAGCCTCTCATTATGCTCTCGTTATGTTTTATTGTCTAAGCATTGCAAAAAAAAACTATTGTTGCAAGACAATACAATGAAAAGAAAGCAGGGGCGGACTGACAACTCATGGGGCCCCCGGGCAATTGGGGATCATGGGGCCCCTGTGTCTTGCCCAAACTCAAAAAAGCCTATGAAAAAGGTACCAGGGGCATCTCATGGAGCCCCTACTGACACCGGGCCCTCGGGCAGTGCCTGAGTTTCCAAATGGTCAGTCCGCCCCTGAAAGAAAGCCTTGTTTTGTCCTTAAAAAAACAATATATTAATTACCTTTTTATCTTTAGTAGTGATAAAGTTATTGCCGAATTAACAGGTCCATAGCAGAAATGTAAAAATTGCTCTGGTCCAGGGGCGGACTGACCATTTGGAAACTTGGGCACTGCCCGAGGGCCCGGGGTCAGTAGGGGGCCCCATGAGATGCCCCTGGTACCTTTTCATAGGCTTTTTTGAGTTTGGGCAAGGACACAGGGGCCCCATGATCCCCTATTGCCGGGGGGGCCCCATGAGTTGTCAGTCCGCCCCTGCTCTGGTCCATAGTGGGAGAGCAGGTGTGACAGGCAAAGTAGTTCAAATTAAACTGAAAAAAATACAATAGTCCCAAAACCATTATAGTTAAAGTTCATCTGACAAGGAATTAGCTTGTACTGTAATCATAATCTACACACCAAGATCATTGACTCCCCTCCTCAGTATGCTTAGAACTGATACTTGGATATAGAGCAATGTGAAAATAAATACAGCTAGGAAATGTAACATTAGATTATTCATTTCACCGGTTCCCTGCTATTCCAGCTCTGGCTACAGTAAGTAAAATGTTCCAGCTCACTTGTGGAAATGGCGAGATTTACAACCTCCCAACTGGAACATAGAAACCAATTTACTGCTTATGTCATTACAGACAGATTGACTGAAGGAAACGTTTTTTGCCTGCACTGCACTATATATTTAATGTGATTTTATTGGCACTGTGCTGCATTATCTCCACTTCTATCATTAGACAATGAATATATTACATCGTGATTAAACATTAGTTTATCTTATGAGAAAGGAGCAGCCGTGAGCCTAAACCGTGGATTAAAAAATAAATATTTCAAAATGAAATTTGTTGGTGTCATATAGGTGCCGCTGGAGGACTGGGAAATAGACAGTATTGCCAGGGCCCTCCAATGTCTACACTTTAGTCTTAGGATTTGCCACAGGAAATATTTACCCTGGAAAGTCAACTTTTACTGGCATTAAACAAATATTTAAAACCATCTGGCCCTACAGAGGACTTACCCCCCTTCATGACCAGGCCATTTTTGTAATAAAGGCGCTGCATTACTTTTAACGGATTATTATGCAGACATGCAACGCTGCACCCCAAATTAAATTTATGTCCATTTTCCCCACAAATAGAGCTTTCTTTCAGTGTATTTTTTCACCTCTGTGTTTTTATTTTTTTTGCGCTATAAACCAACAATTTTGAAAAAAAAATCAATATTTTTTACTTTTTACTATAAAACATGTCTAGTAAAAAAAAATAAAAAATATCAAATTTTGTCATAAATTTAGACCAAAATGTATTCTGCTACTGGATACTAACATTTATAGGTAAAGTTGATCCAAGGAATATCCGATTGCCTCTCGAGGGGATCAGGAAGGAATTTTTTCCCTGCAGGAGCAAATTGGATCATGCTTTGCTGATTTTTTTTGCCTTCCTCTGGATCAATGGTGGGTATTGGATTTATTAATTTTTTATTTTTTTTTCTATGGTTGAACTGGATGGACTTTTGTCTTTTTCAGCCAGAGTATCTATGTAACTATGTCTGCTGAAAAAAAATTCCAATATGTGAAAATTAATTGGTTTATGTGAAAATTATAGAGTCTACAAATATACAAATATACTGGAAATTTTTTCTTTTTTATACTAATAATGGCATTGATCTACGACTTATAGCGTGACTGCGGAACTGCGGCTGGCATTCTGACACTGGGGGGAAACTGACTAACTGCCACTGTCATCCCCAGTGTCACTTATACAGCGATTAGTGCTAAAAAAATCACTGACACTGTACTAATGGCACTGGGCAGTAAGGGGTTAACATCTGGGGTGAGCAAAGGGTTAACTGTGTGCTGTGTGTGTTTCACATTATGTGGCCTGTGTGCGGTTTTTTTTACTATGTAAGTACTATCGAGGAAGTCTCCAAGATCCTCTCTGATGCCCGCCTCACCACCTGCCCCCTCGATCCTATCCCCTCACAACTCCTACGACCTCCTTCCCCCTCCATCCTACGCTCCCTCACCCACATCTTCAATCTCTCCCTCTCCTCCGGCACTTTCCCCTCCCCTCTGAAACATGCACACATCACCCCCATACTTAAAAAGCCCTCCGTGGACTCCAATGACCCGAACAACCTCAGACCCATCTCCCTGCTCCCATTTACATCTAAACTCCTCGAGCACCGCCTAGTCTACACCCGCCTATGCTCTCACCTCAACGACAACAACCTCCTCGATCCCCTACAGTCCGGCTTCCGTCCCCTACACTCCACCGAAACTGCCTTACTCAAACTCTCCAACGACCTGCTAACCGCCAAAGCTAATGGCCACTATTCAGTGCTCCTACTCCTTGACCTCTCTGCGGCCTTCGACACAGTCGACCACCCCCTCCTCCTCAAAAAACTACACTCCCTCGGTCTCAGAGATTCTGCTCTCTCCTGGCTCTCATCCTACCTGTCACAACGTTACCTATAATGCTACCACCTCCCCCTCACTCCCCCTCTCTGTTGGGGTCCCTCAAGGCTCTGTCCTCGGGCCCCTTCTCTTCTCCATCTATACCTCCTCCCTTGGCCAACTCATACACTCTCACGGCTTCAACTACCACCTCTATGCCGACGACACACAAATCTATCTCTCAACAACCCCCCACCTCACCCCCTTGGTCTCAGCCCGAATCACACACCTACTGAGCGACATATCAGACTGGATGTCGCTCCACTTCCTTAAATTGAACCTCTCCAAAACCGAGTTTCTTGTCTTCCCCCCAGCCCGGACACAACCCCCCATTGACTTCTCCGTCACATCCAACAATGCTACCATCAAACCCGCCCTGCAGGCCAAGTACTTGGTGTCATTCTGGACTCCACCTATCCTTTCAACCCCAAGTCCAATCTTTAACAAACTCGTGCAGACTCCACCTCCGCAACATCGCCAAAATATGTTCCATTCCTAACCCCAGAAACCACTAAACAGCTCATCCACTCCCTCATCATACCACGACTCGACTACTGCAACTCCCTCCTCACTGGCCTGCCTCGCCGCTGGCTATCCCCGCTTCAGCCGATCCTGAATACGGCTGCCAGACTCATTCACCTTTCCAACCGCTCTGTCTCCGCCACCCCCCTCTGCCAATCCCTCCACTGGCTTCCGATTGCGCAACGGATCAAATTCAAAATCCTAACGATGACGTACAAAGCTGTCCACCAAACTGCCCCGAACTACATCACTGACCTAATATCCAAGTACCGCCCAGCACGCACACTCCGCTCCTCACAAGACCTCCTTCTCTCTAGTTCCCTGGTCTCCTCCTCCCATGCCCGCCTCCAGGACTTCTCCAGGGTGTCACCCATCTCTGGAACTCCCTGCCCCAACCCATCAGATTATCACCTCTCCTCTCCTTTAGGCGCACCCTGAAAACCCATCTCTTCAGGGAAGCCTACCCCACCCCCTGCTAACTTGCCGACCTCCTCCACTCTTCCTACCACTCCATCCCCCACAGCTATCTCCTCCTGTGCCACCATCCCCTCTCCTCCTAGATTGTAAGCTCGAAAGAGCAGGGCCCTCGATCCCCTCATGTTTTGCATTGTATTGGTATTGTTCTGTCACATGTTCTGTCCCCCTTTGTAATGTACAGCGCTGAGCGAACTATTGGAGCTTTATAAATACTGTATAATAATAATAATAATGTAAGCATGCTGCTTTGTATTGCTCTGCTATGCAGAACAATATAAAGCAGAATGCTGGTGCTGACAGGGGAGAGATCTGTATTGTTTACATACAGAACTCTCCTCTGTCAGTGTTCATCAGCGATCGCCAGGCGCCTGCTGGGAATCTCCGGACGGGACCTGGTGACCGACAGCTGAAGCCGTCAATGGCGGCACGGGTAGGGTGGCACATGCGCACGCCCCCTACCTGGAAATACAAAGTCATGTATATTATATGTGGTTTTGCGCAGCTCTGCCGCCCTGTAGCAGTAGTTCTGCTATAGGGCAGTCGGGAAGCTGATAAAGAGACCCTGTCATTGGATCATTCATTTCAATAACAATCTTTCCATAAGCGAATACATGTATTTAATGCATTTCATGTATGTTATTTATGTAAAAGTCCCACTTGTGTAGACATGCAAAAGTCCTGAAACTGCTGCTGGGGGCCATCATCTTGGATGTGATGTAAGCAGCCCCAGCAGATTCAAGTGACACTCTGTAGTATCCCCTTTTGCTCCTCCCCTGGCAGCTGAATACAAGGCTTTGTAGGGAGGTGAGGGGAGGAGCAAATGAGCTGGACCAGCGCAAACAATGATTACACACTCCCAAAAGAAGAGAGAGCTATGACATGCTAGGAAGTAGGGGGCTGTACTAGAGAAATTGCACTTCCTGGAATAATCAAATTTTCTAGAAAGTTCAAGAACACATTGCAAGTAAATAAAATAAAATATTATGCAAAGTAAATACACTGCAAGTAAGCATTTAAAAACAAAGTAGGAGTCAAGGTTTCCTTGTGTGGTTACATTTCACGCTATGATTGCTTTTCAGGTGTCTAATAGGTGGAATGGAGGCAATATGCTGCCTCCTCACCACTTGTTTTAACTCCATAAATGCTGCACTACCACATCACAGCTGCATGCAATGCAAGGAGGTTGCAGCACGGCCCCTTTTACATGAATAGGTTGCGCCCGGAGGGCAGTAATGCCCACCAAACTCAACACGAGGCTTAATTCCCACCACAACTAAAAAGCATCAGCAATGTGTATTGCCCTGGCCACAGCCTTTGCAGCTTAAGAAAAATTGTTGAGGGGTGATAAAAATGCGGCTCAACCAAGTTTATTTTCAGCACTCCTTCCCTCTTTCCTTCCCTAACATGTGTAAATAGTAGCATTGCAAAAGGAAAAATTGTCCAAGGGACTTTGCAAGGCACACTAAATTGTAGTTAAAGAATCACATTCTCTATTATAATTGCTAGAAAAA